GCTTCTTCCACTCAATGATTTCTTCTTTCTCTTCTTATCGTATCGACGTAAATCATCGAACTGCGATATTTCGTATCACAAATCAATATTTGCGTGCAGAGAAAAATTAATATAAAATAAAAAAAGTACATTATAGAGGATATTCCAGTCTAGTAAAAGATTATGGTGTTCCAGATGTTAGTCAGAGAACTCGTACAATAGTAGCACTTGTAGTACTTCCCCGATTCTTATCCGGAACAGATTGTACTCAATTTCTAAATTGAATTTCATTATAAAAATAAATCACAGGAAAGGGAATAAGTTGGCGGAAGTTGAAATGAAGATTCTACCGTGTGGGAAAAGAATAAAATTTTAAAACGAGATATTCTTAACAATGAAAATTATCAAAGTCGAAAAAAAAAAATTCGAAAAATGTATGCTGTGTAATAGAGAATAATTATTTTTGCTGGAAAAATATGATTTTTTATTTTTAACGTCGATCTTATAAATGAGAAAAATTAAACAAATACATATTTACTAAAAAAAAAAAAAANAAAAAAATTGGAAATTATCGTATTAAGAAAACTGACTTTTGTAAAATTTAAAGCATTGCGACAGCGATGCTATATCGACTTTTAATAGGAAGCAACTTTTTTTCATAAACGATCGACATTTTCAACATTTATATAATATTTTAATAATCGTAAAAATAACGAGAAAAATTACAATAAGAGTGTTTAAACCGAAAATTCATCGACAAGACAAATTAATTATGCGATTATGCGTTTGAAAAATAACGTAGTTTCATGAAAACAGTGCAACGTTTAAAGTGAAGGATTTAAAAATGTCGTTAATTATACGTTGCTGCGTGTAGTCTGCTACAATCGTTAAATGGTGAGTTTAAAGAAACAATTCCGTAACTGGTCGAACTTAAAGCTGCTAGTCGAATCCAATTGCAGCTCTTTTTAGCAAGTGAAAAAAGGGGAAAACGACGAAAGTCGACCAAAAGCAGGTTACTTTCTTTTTCTTTTTCTCTGTCTTTTTTTTTTTTTTCTTTGAAGAAAAATTATGTTAATTTCGATGCAATTTGTTAAAATTTGGAATTTTGGTTCATAGAACCTGGCCCACGCGAGGGTTATCGAGCGACCCACTTTCTCCCCTCCCTCCGCTGCATTCTCTCATACTCTTCGAATTCTGTTCTCCCTGCACCGTGTGGTACCGTGACCAAGGGGATGCTCCTCGTGTTAATCTTTAATAATATATTGTTAAAAATTATTATACCATGTTTATGTCACATGTCCTTGAAATGAGTTTCAAACAATCATTCTAAACAAAGCGCAAGGAAATTGACAAAATGACAATTAGCAGGAATAATAACAATTGAATATCATCTATTTTAAATGTTTATACGAATCATTTAAATATTTATCAAGGGTATAATTATATAGCTTTTATTTAAGAATTATTTAAAATATAATATTACTTTATAATATATTGTGTTATAATTACTTTGTACCAATGATATTACATTGTATTTTTGTAATTTATATACTTGTTCTCAAGTATTAATAACGTACAAGTTTTTGGAAGAAATTTATTGTCTCGTGATATCGATTTTTTAAAGATCATCATAAAAAAAAATGCATCTAGAATGTTAAATTATTGAATCTTGCAGAATAGAAATACTATTGTCTTTATTCGATATTCTTTCTTCTTTCTTACCAGAAATGTTTTTATATCAACAAAGAAGGATAATCTCTTCGTTTTAGTTTCTGTCGATTACATAAGGACCTGCAATGTCACGCAGCGCTTGTTAGTTCCTCACGCGACTCACCCCTACCGTCTATCCAGCCGCCCTGCCCTATTTACTGCTGATCGAACGTCTCGTGTGGTTTCAAATGTCGTTGAAGAGCCTCCCATATGCACATACTTTTGATCAATGTTTCCATACTTCGCTATAATTGTCAGAATAATAATACAGAAATTTTATTAATCTGTCGATATCATAACACTTTGACTTGTCTTTCTTCAATGGAGATTTATTATCATAGTCGAGGATTTCAATTGTATTGAAATAATTGCTTGAACACATCTAATACATCTATAAGAAATTGTATATAAAGAAATTGTTAGAATTTTTATATAAAAGAATGCAAAAAGTGTATGGAAAGATATAAAAAAGTGTGTTTAATATTCATAAAAAAAAAAGTATATAAATGTATATAATATGTCAATGATTGAAAAATAATTAAATAGTTTCTTTGTAAAGTATTCTTGCAACATTAATTAGTTATCATTTAGAAATCAATTAGTTATCAAATAGAAAAGAAGGTATTATATTTATATTTTAATGGAACGAAACTTTTTATTAAACGCTTGTGGAATAAACCAGTGAAAGATCCTACAAAATTTACTTACTCAAGGTCAGGGTATGGAACTGTTTCATCTATATTTTCGCTCGCTCAAGGTAAATTCAAAGTGAAGATGCTGACAAAGAGAAAAATAATTTTATATATTATTCCATTTTTTCCTTTCATAATTAAATATTTTTCCATATTTCTTCATTTCTCTATATCTATACTCTTTTTTCTTTTAATAAATTTTGTAAAAAAATTTAAAAATGTTGGAGAATTGTATATATAGTTCAAAAAAAAAAAAGATTTTTAAAAATTTTACTAAATAATTCATTAAGATAAAAAGTATAAAATAACGTAATAATATTAGAATATAATAGAATATAAAAATGATTAAATTATAGTTTCAAAGACTGGAATCAATAAATATATCTATTTGCCGGCCAGATTTTTGTTATAAAAATTTACAAAATTTGTACTCCCCTCAATAGATCTCTTTTCCCATGTGTATATCAGTAGGTCATCGCATGTATTGGTCGGGGTCTTCCTGCTCGATATCAGCTGGTGCTGTAACCAGACTCATTGGGAGGGTGAATGGGGTTGCCTGATGACGTCACAACGCGGCAGGGTCGTAGCCAATCAACAAGACTTAGCAAATCAAGCATAAATTCTAAAATTTATTAAATCTATTTAATTACTTGTATTAAATTATGCTTATTATTAACTTTATTAAATCATATTGCAATCATCATATCATCATCATATAAAATATCAAATACAGGACTAAAAAATTGAAATTAATTCAATTATAATATTAATTCTGAATAATTTTTATTCAGAATTATTTTTTCCTTAATCTATTTTGACTATTTTATCAAATCAAGTAATAATTTATTTAAATTAGAAATAATAACCATGAATCAACATGTTTAACAATGTTAAACATATTTATTTATGTTATAAAACTTTTAACAAATATTAACAAATTAATTGCATCTATAATAACAAATATTTGAATATAAGTGGCCCAGATTTGATTAAATTGCAATACGCGATAAGAGTAGCGCACAAACAGCTACGACTCAATATGGATTCAGCAGTTCTTCCGAACCTACCTTATTTTAATCAATAGTAGTTTAATATTTCAAAGTTTCGTGATTTCATTATGTTTATAACACAAAATCTTGATATGATTTGATTTGATTTGTATATTTCCTTCTTAAGTTTATTCATATATTATTTTAATTATCCTAAAATTAAAATTTTATTTTATTTTTTTATATATTATTAGAAATACATAAATAATTATTATAATAAAATATTTTATATATTTGTTCTATATATATATATTTTATATAATAATTGTATTTTCTTTATTTATAATCTATAAAAAATTTTAAAATAATATTCAGTGTTTCATATTAAATTATTTTCTAGGAAAAGCAATAATATGTTACCAATGCAACAGCGAATACGACCCAAGGTGCGGCGATCCATTCGATCCGTACAGTCTTGGAACTGTGAACTGCAGTTTTCAACCACGTTTGGAACATCTAAGTCATTTGGAACCTACTCTTTGTCGAAAAATCAGCCAAAGAGGTATATCCAAAAAAAATTATTATTGTATGCATAATATAGTTTTATTAGTTAAAATTATTAAATAATTATTATAGTTTGTTAAAATTATTTAATAAATTTTGTATCTGGAATATATAATAAATTATTCAAACTATTCATGGATTTTAATCATTATTAAAATCAATATTATTATATATTGAGCAAACATTATATTAACATTTGTGATAATTAAATTTCAAAAGATTTAAATATCAAAGTAAAATAGTATATATGTAACATTCCTAAATTCATAACTCTGTTAAATATATAAAAAAATCATAAATTTTTTTTATATAAAACTTATAAATAATTAAAATAATTAAAAACTTACAAATTCCATGATCTATTCTTTGGGAGTGTATATATATATATATATAGTATATACTATCTAAAAGTAAAAATTGATTTAAGTTTGGAATAAATTTTGAAATTCCATTATTCCTCATAGATTATGCATATTTTATCATTATGTGTCAAATAATTTTGAATGTGTCAGAAAATTTTTTGTGGTAATTTATACTAAGTAAACAATTTGATTTAATTGGTTGTTTGTGTAACTTTGTAGCAAGTTAGTTATTTCGTATTTAGGTATCGTTTTTGTTATAAAAAGATGGAGAATCTGTAAATTTAGTAATGCTATGATTTTGATCAATTTTCAGTGTATGGCAAGATCAGAGTTGTCAGAAGTTGCGGATACATTACGGACCAGAGAGACAATGCCGATTGCCTGATGAGATCAGGCACTCACGACGTTCACGCAGCTTATTGCGCATGCACCGGTGATCTTTGTAACTCGGCCGAAAGCCATACACCGTCCTTCTTACTGCCGTTAACATCTCTGTTGACGGTTATTTTGACGATGCCGAGTTTACTTCTTTCATACCCGTTCGCATTACCCGTCTTGACCTCGCCGCACTTCTCCATAGCCTAAACTTCGCAGTTACCAAAGGATAATACTTAATGCCTAAAACTGAATCAACGATAACATAGAAAACACCGTTCGGATCCGGAGCAACTCGTTTTCGTCCGATTCCCTATCTATTCGAAGCGCTACATTTTCAGGTTAGATCGCGATTGATTCTAGACTTGACAATATAATACATATTATCGATCAACCTTAAATAATATTTAAATTTTAGAAATCAAATATTTCATTAATTTCTCTAAATGATCAATTTGACTTTTTAAATGTATAATAATTTCCAGCGAAACGAAATATAAGGGAACTGAGATTGTTAACGAGTTGAATATAATTACAGCTATTGTAGCTGTTATTTTTAAAAAATGCTCGATTGAGAGCACAGTACACATAGAAATGTATGTATGTATGCCATTCCAGGATTCGAACAATTCGCAAAAAGTAGTCAAATTACAACATAGTAGTTTTAATGGTGATACAAACTGCCAGATACGCAAGAGCGTACTTCAGTAGTACACTTCAGGAAAATTTAAATGAGAAGAAGAAAACATATGGCCTCCGCACGTGAAACCATTCAGCGTCTTGCATAAGCGTAGAAAGTAAAAAGAGAAGAAACAAAATTACAATATCTATAAGAAATCTATAAGAAAAGAAATTAACTTTAAAGAATATATACGATATATATATATATATTATATATATTATATATATAATATATATATAAAAGTGTAGCGGATTGCGATTGCACTTTATACGCTACTATGAAAGAAATGAAATAAAATAAAAAAAATATATATATACAAATATATATTATATTTTGAAAGGAAAAAGCAATGGAATTGCACGCAAGAAGGATATTATAGCTTATTTTTAGAAAAATAATATCGGGTTGCTTTCATAATTGCCTGGTATTGTATAAAATATTTCAAAATCGAAATGCACGCGGGATAATGAAATAAAATAAGAAAAAAAAACGGAAAAACATATCGTCGATGAGTAATTTATTTTACATTTCGTTGAGACGAAGATGAAACAAAATTTGGCATGATGATTGCGACCCATATTCTGCTAATTTTTGCAATAAAATGCTGTGTAAACGATAGACAGTAGCGGAGGCTCGCGACAAAACGAAAGGATATTGATGTGTGCATGTGTGCGTGTGATGAGTGCACGTTCGTACGTGTGATACACGGCAACGTATATGTGTACGTGTATATTATATGCACGTCAAAAAACGCTAAAAAATGATTAAAAGATATATACAGTTCGATTAAAATGTGAAATGTTGCTACTTCTTCAATTGTAGCCAATAAGAACATTAAGAAAAGTATGAACAGAAAACCAAAAAATAATACAAGAAAAATAAAAGAAGTAAAACGAAGATGTAGAAACTATTGTCAATGGAGAAAGTAGAAGATAAAGTAGAATGCTTATTGAAACAAACAAATAAAAAAAGAAAATAAAAATATAATAAAAACGAATACATGTCTCACCGCAGTACGTAATTAATTGTTGCTACCGCTGTTGTCATTGTGTCATATTGTCACCATCGTTACATTATTATTATTATTATTACTAATTACTATTACCATCATCAGTACTATAGCTATTAATTGCTACTACTAATTAATGTTACTAAACTAATCATTGTCACTGTTGTTAACATTGTTATATTATTGCTATTATGATTCCTGTTTTTCTTGTTACTTATAATAAAACTTATAACTTAAATAAAATATAAAGAATACAATAAAACGATGGCGAACTTTTTGACACTTTAAAAGATGGAAAAGTAATCGGAAATTATAACAATATGGATATCAAATAAACGAGCTTGTCATATTTGATCAAATGCTTTAAATATCGATTCACTTTAAGCTGCGGATGATGAGACAAAAAAGCGTGTAATTTTTATTGATACACGTCCAATTAAAAGTACATACCGAAAGTTGCAATTTGTTTTGAAGAAGTGATTTTCACAGGAACATATAATTCTATTCTACGATAATTGTATTTTTTTTTCTTATACCTGGCGTAATATGAAAATACCTATAAAAAAATAATCTGGAGAAATAAATAAAAGTGAGATAAACAAAAGACAGAATAAATTATCAAGATAATTAAAAATTTATATTTCGTTATGTTTCGTTCAATTACATAATTTAATTGATTGATTAGTTATTTTAGAAAAGTTATTTAAAAGTATGAATAGTAATATATTAAGCTCTTTTATTTTTATTTAAGATTTCAATCTAAATGTGACAAAAAATTTATATAGTTGTTGATTTATACATAATGTTTAAATTAATTCCAGAGTTCAATCCAGATTAGAATTTTATCTTGAACTTCTATAACTTAGTGCATATACATGTACAATATGCATAAAATTATTCTAATACAAAACAAAAAAAAATAATGATATCCAGAATAAACACAAAAATATACGCGTACATTATGATGCATTTTTGTTGTTATTTTTCCCTAAATGTATCACGATCAATAATAATCATAAAAACTAAACTATGACAAAAAAAAGTAAATACTATAATATCTATAATGAATAAAAATAAATATTAATGACATTTTTTTCTTAATGTTCTCTTTCTTTCGAATATATCTATGATTCATCATAGAAATTTTATCAAATATCGAGCGGAATATAACGAAATTGCTTCTCCAGATAATTATTTATATTTAATTAATTTCATATCATCTGCCTATTTGTCATACTTTGATGAAATAAAACTGCTGGCAACACTGCCCTCTATACAAGCATATCGAAACAATGAACAAGAAAGGAAACAACGGAAAAATATTATATTTTAAATCGATCATCCATTTGCATATTTTGCATTAAAATATAAGTATATTTATTTATAAGACATGCCAGGTCAAGAAAATGTTAATTAAAATTTGATTTTATTATAATATTTATTATCACATTCTATTGTTGCAATGTACATTCATCACTATGTACAGAAAATATTCTGCCAATAAACTGTTGAATGGTTATCAAAAAAAATCAAAAAAAAAAAAAAAAATAGACAGAATCAAAACTATACTTCATATATAAAGTAAACCTTAAAAACCTTGCAATTTAATTAGTTTATTATTTAGCGATTTCAATGTACAGAAATAAATGATATTTTCTTTCATGATGTATTCGTATAAATTCGTATCTTCATTCATAATTAAGACAAAAATGTTTTAAAGCGCAATGTCTTTATGCGCAAATTATTGTAATTATTCATATATTCTTAAAATTTATCAGTGCCATAACAAACTTAACAGAATCATACACATAAATTATTAAAAAGGTAAGTAATAAATCATAACTGATAGCGTTATGTAAACATAACATATTTTTCTATATCGGAAAATTAATTTGAAATCAATAATGTTTGTTAAATGTAATAAAATCTTAGATACTAGGCTAAGTAAACTTTCTTATTTAATAATATGTAAAAAGTAAAATTTTTTCGCGCATATTAAACAATAGCACCATATATAAATGTATGTATATATACATGTATGCGCGCGCTTAAATACATATATATCCATATACACATACATATAATATTTATATAGATTAGATCAATTAAAGGAACGTTAATTATTTATCATTTAAATTGAAAATGTTGCGTGCAATAAACGTTTCTTCGAAAATTAATTCAAAATTCTGTATAAAAATTTTTTCCAGTTAGCAATATTTAAAAACAATATTTACATTTGTTTACACATAGTTATTTTACTTTTAATCAGTATTCATAAGGCACGAAGCTCGATGTTTCGATAGTTGGTCGGAAGACACAGAAGCACTCGATCAGCGTGTCTATGAATTCATTTATGCACTTACGTTATTAATATTTATTATGAATGTATAAAATTATTAATTAAAAAATTATTCTATTCTGTTACTAATGTCATTATGGTATATAAATATATAAATGCATAAAGAGCAGTGTGAAAGCAAATGGATAATACTGTGTGATATTTTATGACACATTACATTTTTTTAAATTTAACATTCAATTAGTTGCAATTATTAAAAAATAAAATTTTTATATTTGACATTTTTTTTTTAAATAGTCTTAATATAATTCTATAAGTAATAAGTGTGATTTTAAGTTAGAAAAAATAAGTATCTGCATTATATCTGAAAAGTACAAACGGAAGAAATTATATTATTCTTCTTACTAACGTCGTAATTCCATTTAGTCGACTAGAAGCTCTTGAGTTTATAAAAGTTTTAATCAGAAATTAGAATCTTCATAATATAACGTCACGTGAGAGTAACAAAATTTATAGCACTTAGTTGTATTCAAGTATTACAAATTGGAACAACCGGATTATTATCTCAGATAAGCGTATGTTGTTATATTCAGTTCAAATGTTTAATATGCTAAGTATCCGAGAATATTACTATATCAGCTGATTTTTCCTCTTCTGTTGATACAAATGGAGTAACTACTTGCATGTTGACTGATATATACAAAGGATAAGTGAGTTGTTTATCCAAAGACATTACCTGTTTCTAAAGTATAAATTTGATTTACTTTAATGACTTAAAACATTTTCTTACAATTAAAAAATTTATAAATATTACTTACTTCTTCATTCTTATGGAGTGATAACCTAAGCATACCTGAACTCTGAATATGTTTTACTTGACGTTGTTCATCTAATGAAATTAGACTTACTCTGAAAATAATTTTTTTTCAAAATTTTAATTATATAATTATTTAAAAGATCATAATTTTTAAACTAATACTAACTTCAGAATTATATTATGTTTGCTATGATTTGCTTTTATGTGATCTGTATCTAATCTGTGATTCCTTTTAATTCTTAAAGTAGTACTATCTAAGCACACCACCAAATCTAAACCAAAATGAAATGCTGTCCATCTCCAAATATGTTCACCAGCTTTTTCGATGCACCTTCCACAACGGAAACATTCACGAGCGAATTCTTCTTCGCTCATCTGTTTTGGTCTAAAATAATTAAAAAAAAAAAAAAGAAAAATTGCATTTTATTGTTGTGTCTATTTGTTAATTACTTCGGTATTATGAATTACACAGATACCTAAAGTGGGACAAACATGGGAGTAGGTTTTTTAGAGTAAAAATTCTGGCCACAAAGCTGGTTATAAAAGGGAAGGGAAGAAAAAAGAAGGCACATATTTGAGACTCTTTACTATGTTCATCGACCTAAGTACAGATCAAGGATATGTTTAGAAAAAATAAAAACTTTTATAACTTACCCTCGATCTTTATTCGCATCTATTCTTAATAAATGTAACCATTGTTCTTTATATGCATTGTGCAACCATTCATGTGGTATTAAATTATCACTATATAAAATTTTTACATCTTGATCATGTAACAAAAGATATTTCATTCTTAATGCTTTAAAAGGAGCTGCAAATTCTTTGCCTTCTTCTGTTGTAAGAAATGGTTTTGTCCATTTATGATTTCTAAAATATTCATCAATTTGAAGTGTTTCCTCTTTATTGTGTACATGAACAAATAACCTAAAATGTTATTTATAGTTAATAATAATGTTATTTATAATTAATAATAATATAATATATTTAAAAACGATTTTATTTCAATATTTCACTATTTACCATACTCGTAACATCATATATATGCAAAATTCTGTTTGCATAGCAATTAAATCAGGACTAGCAATTAATTCAGCCATTAAATCAGGTGTAATTTCTTTTAAAAAAGTTGGATGTAACCATCCATGTCCCAAAAGATTAACTTCTAACCATCGTTTTGCTGCTGTTTTTACCACTGGTACACCATAAGATACAGCAGCATTATAATAAGGAACAACTGTCTTTATATTTGTTGTCTCTACCATAATATCTGTACACTGGTCAATTAGTCCTTGCAATTGAAATAAAGTGGAGGTAGCCAAAATTGGTATGACATCTTTTGGTTCTAAACTGACTTCATCTTGGTAAAAGGAACCAAAAACTGTCAAAAGAGCTAAAAACATATAAAATTAAGAAAAAAAAATATTATTTATTAAAATAAAAAATTTTTAAATGAAATTATTTACAATCTAATGTAATGTTAGGATCAGCAATTTCTACACTTATAACTGTCTCATTTGCTTCCCTCCAAGATCCTGAAAACATACTTGCAAAATATGGACTCTGTAAAAAAAATTATATATTATAATTTAAAATAAAAAATATATAAATTTGCATAATATATACAATAAATATTATAATATTACAATATATATTAAAATAAGCAATTTACCTGACTGATATAAACTTTATGTAATCTCCATGCTTTTCCCAACATTAGTACAGTTATGTCACTTCCTTTTTCTTCTTGGAATAATGTTTTATAAATGTATTGTGCTGTTGTCAACAATTTCCTTCTGTATGAATTAAAAAAAATGTATTAATTATGATATAATTAATTCATATGTATAAAATTATTGAGATTGAAAGCAATTTTTAATACAATTGACGATATATATTGTTAGATACTAATTACAAAATTAAGAAGTTATTTTTTTCGATGATGCAAACATTGTTTAATACCATTAAAAATTCAATTGTATAATCAATTATTGTTATCGAATTAAGATTATTTATTCAAAATTTACATACTTTTTTGGCGTTTGAAGAGTGCGATCGATGTAATCCGATTCAGAATCAAAATCATCTTCCTCGATACATTTTCTTTTACGACCGCGATACATGGAATGCATCGCATTGTTTGACATCGATGCAATTTTGCTCACGTAATTTCCCATTGTCTTTGTGTTTCAATGAGCAAAAGAAATTTTCAGTTCGATTACCGACAAATTATTGAATATTCTCAACATTGTTTTTAATACAGGAACTGTATTTTCGCTGCCAGTGCTAGTGTTCAGTACACAGAGGAAAGTCTATATAGATATCCCTCTTGAAATTGCAACATACACGCATCATACACACACACACACAATTTATATATAATATAAACATATGACATAACAAAAAATATAGTTAATACAGCATTGATGCAGCAAATATATATACATAAATATATACTTATTATAGATAGAATATTACGAATTTATTTATCATTAATGGATAAATTATTATTTAAGTATCTTCCAATTGGATATTTCTTTTCTTGTGAAGTGAAAGTATCCAATCAGATACAATTTAATAAGATGTAAACTTATATTATATATTTAAGTATTTATTTAATGCAAATGTTTAAATAGATTTATATAAATTTATAAAATGAAATTATAAAAATATTCGTAATGGAAATTGAATTAATGAAAAGTTTGTGGAGAAGATATTTCATGTAAAAAAATTCCATGTGAGGAATACGAATTCAATTGGTTAATTTCAATTGACTTAATAAATTTATTAAAATAAACATAATTTATAAACAAGAGCACGATAAAAAATTTCTCGTACCTTATCTTTTGATATTTCTAGCCATATAAATATAATATAATATATTTCTAATCTTGTAATGTTATATTATAAGAAATATAAAGTATAAGCTATATGCTAATCAATTTGAAAATTTTACTAAATTTTAAAATAAATTAAAAATTTATTCAAATATTATTATATATCTTTAAATTTATATAAATTTATATAAATATATATATATAAATTTTTATTTTATTTTTTTAATATTTTATGTTATAATGTATTCTATATATAGTTACTATACCAAGTGTATGTCAGACTTAAAATAAAATGAGCAATTGATTTTTATGCATAGCATGTTACTCACTTGAAAGTGATTGATTCATGTTTGAAGATATAGATATGTTTATAATTTTTAATGTGTACAATAATTCATTTTTATATTACTTGTAAGTAATATAGTTAAGTTCTATGTTAATTTTATCGTGTTTGACAATAGGAATTTTTGATGAAAATTAACATTCATCTAATAATTGTTCAGAAAAAGTAAACGCCATTATTATTTCAAAAATCAGTATATAAGTATAAAATATAAAAAAAAAAACATGAAAAGTAGCTGTTATACATTAAGAAAAAGATTTAAAAATGATGCTATGGAACAATTGTCAAAGAAAGAAAATAAATTACAAATTTTATATAAATTGTGTAAGCCAGTTTATGTAAATATCATAAAGTTACCAATAAATAAATCAGAGATAAAAAAATGCTGTGAAAAATACTCATCTATAACTCAAATAAAAGATACATCAAAAAATAGAAAACGAAAAACTAAAAATTATGTTAAAAGAATAAATTCCAAACATAATCATTTATGTAAATCAAAAATTAAAATTAAATCTCAAAATATGCTATTTTCTAAAGAAACAAAAAGTAAAAATAAAACATTGTATATAAAAAATTTATCAAAAGATATTAAGCAACCATTCATAAAATTACATAGAATAAATGAAGTAACCAAAAATATATCACAAACATTTGTAAAAACAATTTCATTTGAAGAATGTACAATAAATGTAAAAACAGAATGCATGAAAGAAAATCAAACTGAATTAAATGCATTTATTGCAGAATCAGTAGAATTGACATCTATAAATACTGATAGAAATGAATATGTTAATAATCAAGAAATTAAAAATGCAATAATTAATCCTTACATAAATAAAATTTCACAATCAAATGAGAATAATAAAAATAATGATAATGATTCTTCTGATTCTGAAATTATAAGAATTACTAGAAAAGAGAATTTTAAAAAGAAACGTAAAAATGATATGAATAATGATTATGATAATAATAATGAATATAATAATAACAATGAAAATAATAATATACGTAAAATAATTTTAAATAAAATAAAAAGATTGAAAAGAAATTTACCAGAGCAAACATTAGAAACTAACATAGTACATGAAGATGTTAAGAAAAAATATATAGATGAAAATTCAATGTTGCAATTAACATCATTAGATGTTACTAATGAATTATTTAATCAATCAGACAAAAAAAATTTAATATAAAGGAAAATATAAATATATCACAACAGAAATTAGCTATATTATCTACAACATGTGATCCTGATGATGAAAACAAGATCTTGATCAAAATATACAAGAAGATAATTCCAATTTTATGCCTTCAGAATTAAATCTTCTAAGTATTATAGAAAATGATACTTCTTCTACAAAAAAACATGATTTTATGGCGATTGAAAAACCAATTTTAAAAGACAAAAATATTCAAAAACCAATGCAAGAATCATTTAATTCTAGTACACATTCTATACAAAAATACAAACTTTTTAAAGAGTTAAAAATCTTTTTAATAAAATTTGATGCTTTGAAAAACTTTAATAATAAATATTCAGCTAAAGAAATTGAGAAATTAATAGAAACATATATAAATTCTTTAACGAATTTTAATGTTTTAAAACCTCAGAAAAATATAAAATCGATAAATAAAATATCAATTATATTTAAAAATGCTAATGTTAACTCTGAAGAATCTATAAACCATATTTCAAATTTAAACATTTGTGAAACTGCAAATAAAAATATTTGCATAACTGCCAAAGAAATACAAAGCATAAATGAACCGTTATCAACTTTTCCAAAAAAGTCATCTTTAAATTCAATTAATAAAGAAAAAACAAAAATATTTGAAAACAAATCTGAAGAAGAATTTAAGCAAAATGCAATTAATAATTCAGAACAAATTTCAGATTTACTTTCTATTACTAAACCTATGTTATTATCTTCTTCACATGAGTCTATTAATGAAACTTCTAATTTATCAAATGTATTTGAAAATATTGTTAATATTAAAAAATCAATAAATATATTGGATTCTGCAACAAAATCTACTAATGAAATGTTATGCTTAAAGGAAAAAATACTAAAAACTTCCTTATGTAAACAAAAATCAATTCCAGAAAATGTGAAAGTTAATACACATCTTAAAGATACTACAAAAAGTGTAACTTATTACTCTTCCATAATATCTCCAATAAAAGATAAAAAACTTAAAGATAAGAAAGAAACTAAAACTTCTACTTATAAATGTATTGTTTGTGATCTTAATTTTAAAAAGTATTCTGATTTACATTCACATTTAATTATTCATACACAAAAGCAAAGTAATACTTTACCAGGTATGTCGAAAAATACTAACGAATCATCTGAAAAATCTCAAGAAATCGTAACTTGTTTTTCAGAAATAGAAATGTTAGAATCACCAAAAATATCTGAACAAAAAAATACGGAATATGTGTCAAAATTTGTGACTGATGATGATAAACAATCAAAGAAAAAAGATATAACAAAAAGTTTAATAAATAAAGAGAAAAAAAAAATTGAATTTATTAATAATTCAAATGAATGTAATATTTGTTTACAAGATTTTCTAACAAAAACTGATTTGGCAGCTCATATTTATTTACATACAGAAAATGAATTGCAACAAGCTTATAAAGTTGCAAATCAAAAATTAAATGAGAGTGAAACGATGAAAGATAAAGAATTTAAACAAAACAATTCTAAAAAACTTATTGACAGTAGAAGTAATATAATACCTAACACAATTCAAATAAATGAAAAAATTAACAGTAAGGAAGAATTGTTATGTGTACAAGAATCGGATAAATCATTAATTAGAGAAAATTCTAAAATTAAAGATATAGAATGCACTGCTTTCAAAGAAAATGATATGCAAAATATAGAATTACCAATAAAATTTGATAAAGAGAAGATAAATAAAAAAGAATGTAATAAAAAATCATTTACAATATGTAAATGTCACAATAAATCAGAAACTAATGAAAATTGCTTGCAAATTGAAATAATTCTTTTTTGTCATACTTGTAAAGTATTATATAGAAGTATAAAATGTTTTGAGACTCATTATCGTCTTCCTGAATATGCAGACTGTAATCAGAATTGCTTAAACAATGGTCGTTCTCCAAATTTATTTTGTGCTACTTGTGGTATGATATTTAGTTCAGTTCAAGATGTACGTCATCATTTAGAGATACACGCCCGTTTTAAAAAAAATTGTATAATGGATTTTCGATGCAACATTTGTAAAGTTATATTTTGTGGAATAGGAACTCTTTTTTATATTCATTGGTCACAACATGCAAAAGATTCTTTTTGGATAGCTAGCAAGGAATCATTTCCAAAGAATTCTATAATAAACTCAAAATTAAGAAAAAATTCTTCAATAAATTTAAATACATCTACAGAAGATTATATTCATGTTGCAGAATATGTTTGCTGCAATTGCAAATTACATTTTATTAATGAAGATGATTTAAAAGAACATATTCAAAAATGTAATAAATCTAATTTATTTAAAAATGTAACTGTTATAGAGAATTCTAATAACATTGTTCAGACACATTTGACAATAAAAATAACTTGTAATTTATGTGATAATACATTTAAAAAAAATGAATTTTATAAGCATATAAAGAATAAACATAATTTTAGTGATCCTCAATTTATTTGTATATCATCTACAACTGCAAAATTAGTATTTATTTGCAGTATTTGTACAACAGTAACTGAAAATTTAAATGATTTCGAGGATCATTGGTTGAAGCATAATGTAATTCATGCAAATTTTACTTGCATATATTGCAATACTATATATTATAATAGTTTAAATTCTTTTATAGAACATGCTAAAGAACATAAAGAGAGTAATAATATGCTCACATGTATAGTGAATTATGAAAAAGCGAAATTTATTTGTGAATTTTGTAATATTGGTTTTGAATCTTCTCAAAATATGCAAGAACATATTACTATTCATGAACTAAATAATAAGATATATTTTAAAACTGATGAAGTTACAAATGATAATAACTCTGCATTATTATCAAAGAAAAATCATGCTTCCAATCTTACAGAAGTATCAACTGTTGAGAAACAAATAGAAAAAACATTACAAATGGAAACTCAAACAATAAAAAAAGAAAGTAAAATTTGTCCAACAAAATCTGGTGTAGATAACGATACTGAGAAATTAATCAAGATACTAGAAGGAAATGAAAATGATTCTGATAATGAATTAGTAATAGATTTGATAAACGAATCAGAATCATTAAGTGATGAAAAAAGTAAGGAAAAAGAAATTACTTCTAATACTATATTAGAAACGTCTTGTATTAATCAAACTAATATAATATTGAAAAATAATATAACTAAATCACCAGTAACAAGTCTAAATGTTCAAACATCTTCACATTTTACAAATTTAGAATCTTCTCAAAATATTTTAAATTCACGAACGTTTAATTCAAATATTAAATGTACAAATATTTTGCAAGATTCACATATATCTTCAAAAAAGATTAATAATAATAGTAATCAATTTGATCCAAAAATTAAAACAACAGATGATCAATTAATCATAAAAAATATACAACCAATTATTCAAAATAATAAACTTCAAGATATAGTTTCAACTACAGAATTAGATTCAGTTTTGAAAACACTATTAAAATCCGAAGAACAAGAAGTTCCACCAAGACAAGGATTCTTAAGAGTAAAAACTCTTGCAGAGCTTAGAGATCCTGTATTAGAATTAGACAAATTTGATGATCATGTTATTGAAAATGTTGGTGATTCAATCAATCATAATATTTTAAATGAAAATGATAAACAACATAAAATTATAGAAAAAGAATTACCTTCACAACAATTTATAGATTTTACTTCGAACAAGTTTGAGAAATCATCATTATATGAAAAAACAACGCAATTTCAGAAAAATTCAAATATATTGCCATTGTCCTCATTTAATTCAAATTATTCACGATTAAATGACCCTAAAATTCAAGTTTTGCAACCATATAGTATAACAATAAATAATCATAATAATAAACAACAGCAGCAATTGCAAACGAATATAAATCAAAATAAATATTCATCTTTTCCACAAGTAACGTCAGCATACCATAAAAATTTACCAGCTTGCAATATTGTTCGAACAACTACAACTATACCACATTCTATTTTGAACAGTAATGATGGATCTAATAAAACTGCAAAAACTATTAATATACAGCAAAATGTAAATGTAGCACATACAACGTCTTCTTTTATCAATAAAAATGATCAAATGTCTTCTTTCAATAACACAATCAAGTCAAATAAATATAAATGTCATTATTGCGATTTTTGTACAGATAATTTATCAAACTTGTCAAAACATAACTTACCAGGTAATCATATTAGTTGTAAAAAACAATATTTGCAACATAGTAAGCAGAACAAAAAATTCAAAGAAGTTGATAATTTACAAACAAAGACAAGAATTATGCAAAACCAAGATCCAAGTTATGAACAATTTCAACAATCAATTATAAATCAATCAGAAATTAAATATACTTCTTTGCCTACATGTTATCAATATCCTTATATTGCTAAAATAACAAATAATTCAGATAAAAGTACTCCAATGCTTAAGCAAAATCAGCAAATAATAACTAATCAACCAATAACAGAAAATATTTCTTCTGTTTATTATAAAAATTTAAATCATAATGCTGGTGGAATGTCAATAGTGATCAATCAAACTGCTCCTGCTATACAGAATGTACCAACAATAGAATTTGTGCAACAACCAACACAGCAACAAATATATCAATCACAAGTTTACAATGAACCAATGACAATTATAGATGCTCAATATATGCAGCAATCACAGGTATATTGGTCCAATCATACATAAATAATTAATTCTTTGAATTGGATTATTTTTATAGATTTAGTCGCTTTGGAAATAATAATTTTATTAATTTTATTAATATGGATAAGGAAATCCAACAATGATTTTAATTACAAAAATTAATTTGTAATTTTAATTTTCTAAATCAAAATTGATATTACTTAATTACTAATATAAGCGACGAATGGATCTACTTTCCCAACTTAAGGAATTAATTATTATTCGTACAATTAATTAAATCATTAGTATCATATGTATTTTTATTTTCTAATTTTTTACTTACAGAATTTAATAAATTTTTCTGATGTTTACCAAATGACGAGCAATCAGTATAAACTATCTAAGCCAAATATTACTTATGAAGTTCGATGCGTATGTTCTTACTGTACGAAAAAATTTATTTCTGAAGATTTATTGCAGTTACATATGAACATTTTTCATAATTTTGTATGTAATATTTGCAATTTGCGTTTATATAATTTTAACGATTTTAATCTTCATAAAATTAAACACAAGATATATTAAGTTCAAAATGTTACTAATTTAGAATAATAAATATAAAATATTAAAAGATATTTATAGTTTGATATTTATACATAAACATTGTATAAATATTTGTATGTGTAAATTGTATGTGAAAATTATATATCTTGAAGATATAATATATAATTGTAATTGCATGATATATAATTTTTTGCAAAAATTACCGCATTAAGCTGTAGTAATTATGCACTGAATGAAATAATAATTTAATATTATATTTTTATTATAAGAAAATATATTTTAATATTTTCATAATAAATATCTTCATTGTTGTAAAATTACATTTATTTTAGTAAGGTTTAATTTTTAGTAATATTTTATTATCGTATCATATTTAAATAAAATATATATTATATAATTAGATTTAAGTATATTTCATATTTAAATAATATTATATAAATAGCATATCATATTGGAATATACAGTAAAATAAAATTTTAATTAAACTTGTATTAAATAATTTATTTAGTCCAAATTTCATTATTTTAACTAATTTCAACTAAGAGAAATCATAAAATATGGGGAGAATCAGTCGACTATTATTATATAAAATTTACTTACATATATAAACTATTTGTCTTCTAATAGATTCAAATAAATAGTAATTAGATGAGTAATAATATTATATGAGATATAAGATATTTTTATACTTTTAAAGTATTTTAACATTATAATTTTAATTGTTAATATCGATATCAAGGAATAAATAAATGAATTATGACGAAAGGAAATTAAATGGATGATCTTTAAATATGAATAAATATTAAAATAATATACATGTATTTCCCTTTATTCGGCACTTTGAGCTTTATATTTTTTTTTTTTTTACAATAACGTTTCGACCTTTGTAATTGATAAGTCACAAACAAATACAATCATTGGAAACATATTTCGATATTTAAATGATTATAAGGATATAATCGTTTAGAAATTAATCGATTTGATGAATTGATGATTGAAGTTAGTTAATCTTTTGTCCTACAGCAACGAATGAGACTCGTGATAAGAGGGGCTAAAAATTATAAGCACGAGCCTGACTCGTGGTACTTCATTCGGACTAAACGTAAACACAAGCTTGACTCGTAGGTATTTCGTTCGGATCAAATATAAACAACACGAGGCTGGCCTGACGCGTGACCGAACTTCTTGTTTATTGTGATCCGAGAAATCGGGAGTTAGTAGGTAGAACAAAGTTAATATACTTATATATACTGTCATTTGTCGTTATTAAGTCGTTGAAATATTATTATTCATCGACTGATTATAGTTATAATTATAGTTTTTCCAACAATTGTATTTCAATTTGTGTGATTATGGTAAACATTGGATAAGTGCCTGAAAATCGAGATCCAAATTAAATATTAACGAAATATCAATCTATATCGATCAAGATTATAAATTCCTTTTGTAGAAAGTAAGCGAAAAAAAATAAAGACTGAAAATAATTGAACGTCATAGTGCATTAAAGAAATATTTACGCCCAATAATTAGATTTGACAATTTATTCAATGTTTACTATATTGAAGTACAAATACAAGTAAGACAATAGTTACGAGCAATCAGAAAGAAATAATTTTGCATTTTATTATGCTTGCTCTTAACTATTGCAAATAATAATTTTTACGTGAATTACTACTAATTGTAAAAATTAATTGGAATCTCATTTCGCAATTCGAAGGATTTCTACAGAGATAAATAAAAATCACGTAACTTGAAGTTAGATCGGGGAAAAACGGAACTTTTCATTACGCGATTTTTCTTTTTGTAAATTAATTAAAATATTCAAATCCTACGCTTTGCTCGTGACTTGTATTAACGCTTCGAGCTTTTAATTAATGTATATAATCTTAATTGTTAATATTAAATAAATAGAATTATAAATAATTATGGGAATGAAAAACATTTTTTAACAACAAAAATAACAATATTCGTTCAATAATAAATATTTATTACTAAAAATATGATTTTTAGATATTAAAAAGGCCGAACTCGAAGCGTTGATTATTACACGAGTTGTACAATCCTATTTGAGCGAAATATGATGAAAAATATTCTTATAATATTTAGAAAAGGTGCATATCGATCTTGAATAAATTAAATAAAATATTCAAAAGAAGAAAAATTATATAAATTTATTTTATCATATAAAGATATTAGAAATTTATTTCTTTTTTTTTCCTTTTTTTTTTTTTTTTGGGAATGAAGAATCGAGTTTAATTTATGTTAAAGGAATTGTTTAATTATTATGCCCGATAAGGGTTGAATAATCGAGACAATCGATTACGATAATAAAAGATCCTTAAAAGGCAAGCCTATATAATTTACTCGTGTATTATCTGTATTACGAGCGTACGTATGCAGTACACTTTCATTTATCCTAGAATTTGGCACGTGATTCACACAATTTCAACACAATTCGTTTATTGTGTCGGCAACTCGAAAGAACAAAATGTTTTTCATATTCATTTTACAGTGCAGTTTACGTGACGATACATGATATAAAGCTAAACGTTAATGGAGACTTATACTTGAATCTTGAACATAAAAGGCGGAAGGCTACTCACTATGTCGTAACTATGTATTTTCGTAAATCTTATTTGAAAAGAATAAGAAAAGCATCCGATTATATAAGAAATAATAATTAATTTTAAATTATGCTTTGAATTTGATTTTAGATAAGGTTTTTATTATTTTTTTTTATGAATTAAAAAAAGAAAGGAAAAATTTAAAAATTTTACTTAAGCTGTTTTAATATTAATTCTTTCTTGTTATCTCGGATTAAGATTTAAAATCAACGATGAAATTCAAAAAAGAAAGTGAAATTAATAATAATAAATCGTAATAATTTTTAAACACGTGAAGAAATCGCAAATACATAGTGCGAATAGTATATTATATTATAAATAAGTCTATCTTAATGATTAAGTATCACTACGAAAGACCATAGGGGTCCTTCACGAGGCTTGTCCCCCCCAGGAGTCGATTGTTAAGTTTCGAATCCTTTTCTGTATATTTTAATAATACTGATATAGGTTTTCGACGTTCATCTCCCGACGTTTATAAAATTTTTAATCAATTTGTTTTTATAAAAAATACGGAAAATTCAAAAAATCGACATTCTAACGACATTCTATCTAAAGAAGAAGAAGAAAAAAAAAAATAATTCGTGATAAGATATAATGGACAGATGAAAAAGATTGATATTATCATCTTATATCGAACTTTAAAAAATAAAAAAATAGAACTGCTAAATTAAAAGAATCCAAAATTAATCAAAAGATTCTAATTAAGAGTTGCAGATTGGTGTACGAATCAAATATAATATTAAAATCCAACAGATATATCGTGTAATTAATTTTGAATCTCAAATTAAGAATTCTGAATCTAAATTTCTAGAAAATCTAAAAAACTTAATAAATTTTTTTTTTTGTCTTGAATTTGTAACGCTTTTGAATTTTTAACTTAAAAACAAAAAAAATGTTTCGAACTTCTTGACACTTCATCACTATCACTTGTGTATCATTAAACATATGCTATAACTACTTCTATCCATTACATTCTCCGCATTAAAACATGTAAAATGGAGAAAACTCAAAAACCGAGTTGTTTTCGATCAATTAAATTAATTAATTAAATCATCGATTATTTTCTTCAATCGTACATATTTGTATGTACTATGTCAAAAGATACCAAAGTTTGCGAAAAAAATCTAATTAGAAAATCCTTTTAAAATCCCATAATTAAACTGATTTTTTCTCTACAACTGTTTTTTTTTTTCTTTTTAAGAAAAAATACCACGATATCACACGATTTCGTGCGAAGGATCAAATGGGTTTACTCTACGAAAAATCGTTTTTTTTTCCTTTTTTTTTTTTTTTTTTTTTTTACCTACATATGGTATTGAGCGAACGGAGGTTTCGTACATAACAGTAATAGTTGTTTTCTCGCTATCGTTACATATCGGTTGACACGTGAGAGAAACCTCCGTATGTGTGATGTGTGTGTATGTGTATGTATGTATGTATATCGTACAGCTACAGTTTACGGTTTATTAATCCTACAAGACTAGATGTATAATCGGTGGAAAAATATCGTTATTCTTCGTCAATCGGAATATCATAAATTTACGCACGTAATACATTGGACGTTCTATATCCAGCAGCTTAACCTTCCCTCACGGGTACGAAAAAGTAGGTTGAGCGACGGAATCCCCTTCACATCTCCTTTCCCCTCCCCATACCTGACCCGTTTCCGGCTCGAAGGAAAATAACACTTGCCCCTTCCCCTTCTTTTCCAACGTAACGTAACAACGAAATTTTGTTGAATAAATAATTAAGCATACTCAAGAATGAACATCGTACAATCCGAGAAGATAAATATAAATTTACAAAAATTAACCTTATAGCTTGGAAATTATATTAGATTCAAGTAAGGGAGAGATAAAATAAATAAATAAATAAAATAAAAATGCATTCAGAGTTTTTGTTCAATTTTGAAATTTTTCTTCGTGCTGGAACGAAATTGAAGAATGGCTTCGAGTAGCGAAGCTCACGCTGCTGCTTTTTTTATTTTATCGCGACTATCCCTCTCACTTTTCGCTTCTCACTTTACTCGTTCTGGACATTAGAAATGGCGGAGCGGCAATTGTACCAATTCTCTCACCGTGTCACAGCTAAAACTTGACTAAAGCTATTCGTATCTCGTACATAATTATCTAAATGCTTAATCGTGCTTTTCAAAGATTTCTCTCTTTTTTTCTTTTCTTTTTTTTCTCTTCTCTTCTCTCTTCTCTTTCCCCTCTTTCTTTCATACATACGAACATGGTCGAAGATCCTCGATTTAACATCAATCGCTCTATCTACACAATCACGCAAAAGAGATGATCACTCGTTCGCTCTCGGATTTTTGTACAAAAAGAAAAATTAATTACTTTCTGAAAAACCGTTTATCGGTTGTTTCGGTCCTCTGGATAGAATCAGTCTGGAAAGGGAATTCAACGGACTAGAAAATCACTAGATAATGACTAGAATTTTTAGTATTTTTTTTTCGTATGTTCTTAACTCCTCTCTCTCTCTCTCTCTCTCTCTTCACCCAACGCTAATTCGCGTGTTAATATTTAATTATCGGATTAAAATTATCGATCACATTTGTGTGAAGTTCATTTTTTTTTTTTTTTAGATACTTAATTCCAAATCGAGAAAAATATCGTGAATCGCGCAAGATGTTTGTTTCCAAAATTTCAATTGTAATCCTTTACTTTTGGTAGAAAAAAAAATGGCGACAAGTGACGATTCGTGGTATGAATCTTTCAATTGATTTTTTCCCCTCGGAGATTTCCGCATTAAAATACGAGAAGGAATAAGAAAATTTATCGGACAAAAGTGGAACAACCTTGAAACATGTGAATAAAGATGAGTTGAAAAAAGAGCTCGCAATTTTTCAATGGGATGTTCACGGTGTAAATACGAGATCGAAAAATTCGGCTGTTTTCACGATTCGTCCAATAAATTTGATAAAATGTAGGAGCCTTTTTCGCCTCCACGAGTGGAATATCAGTTGCTCCAACCGAAAACTTGTCTCGTTTCTAATCTAATACCTACGATCGTTTTCCGACCATTTGCTACCTAAAACCTTATCGTTACCTTAATATCTCTAAGGATGAGTTTTAAGGATATAATTCCATCGTCAATTTGGCGGAAAACGAACGATTCTTTCGAAAGGAGCGAAAACGAAAATCATGGACGGACCGTTTGCGGACCTATTTTCAAATAATATGATTCGTAATATAACCCCGACAATAGTCGAGAGGTTATACACTCGTATAATCACGAAAGATCGTCGTTAAACCGTGTTTCCAAATCTCTTCGAATCTTTTCGACAAATCAAGTGGCTCGGTTATGGATATCGTGTCACAACGTAACACAACAATTAAACGTTCCTCTCCAGATCTTCCCATTACGTACAATTTCAAATTCTTCCTTTTAATCTTACACAAATTTTCATCGACTCGTCTCCGCAAACAGAACGACCTGAAAATTCAAAATATTCCTCGCGAATAAACTTGGGCCTAAAAAGTGGATGTAAAAAAAACCTTGTGGTAGTAAAAACTGCTTAGTAAGTAAGAAAAGTCGTAAAAGTCGGGCAGTGGTAAAGTTGTACGACCGTTGGAGAAAAATATAGGATCGTAAAGATAAAAAAGACACGATCTTTTTCGCGTATCTTTCTCGCGACTCGATCTTTTTGGGGGGGGGGCGATAATTCGATTGTCCTCTCGTCCTTCCTTGGTCCTTCCCTTTGTACGACTTTCTAAAACCTGCTGACCGCCTCGTCGTCGGTCACGAAGTAGTTGGAATTCTTCACAGCCGAGCTGTACATGTTGTAAGTGGGGCTGCACACCACGAGGCCGGTCATACAACCGCTCAGCTCTTTCTCGTTCGTCATGGAACCGTGTCGGGCGATCGTCGACGTCCTTCTGTCCTTCTTAACCAGCGTCATGCGGCAGTCCTCGGAACGCAACGGCATGGATGGATAGGTCGGTTGCCTGGCTAGCGTGGTCAGCGCACGGTCACCCGTGTCGTTGAAGCTGCGCAAACGTTTGAACGTACAATCGGAGAGGGCGTTCGAATAACGAATATCGAGTCGTGGATAGATCTATTTTTCGTGGTGAATTTTTCTGTTTCTAATATTAATCGAGATACAATATCGTAATGGTTAAATTATATAGATACCTGTGATGCCTGACGATGCCCCTCTTGATCCTGCAATGTTCGTTCCCGCCCTGCCCCTCCAACGCCGTTCCATGGGTCTTGCACGCCTCCACCCCCATGGGAACGGGGGAAAGGGAGCCAGGCCCGTAAGAACCGCTGCTCTGCCTCCTGTCCAAGATGTGGACAAGCTCGACCGACGGTGTCGGCGAGAACGTGCCCTAAAGACGCTTTATATCAAACCTCACCCTCCTATCCGTGCATGTGCCACGAATAACGAAATACCGCGATAAAAATGATCGGAAGTAAGCTTTGCGAAACTTAAAAAAAAATATACCTCTTCGACGTCTGAAGGAAGGAACGGGGAGCAGGAACAGTTGATGAGAGGAATTGCTAAAAAAATCAAAACTTGTAAAAAAAAAAAGAAAAAGTTTAATTCAACAACAAATACAAAATCAACATAAACGTTTTATAATATAACCAAAATATATATATATATATATATA